AATAAAAAGCATAGTAAAAAAATGCGTGTGAAATTTGCTCTTTTTTTTATTTTTGATTGATTTTTGCTATCTAATTAAAAAAGAATCAAAATCTAGGAACTTAAAATTAAATACTAATTAAAATTATTTAAAGCAAAATTGAGGATAACACGTAGTTAATTTTGACTTGACTCTCGAAAAAATGACATTTTCAATGAAGTCGTCAAATTATCGTAATGGTTTTGGAGCCACCTGATGAATTGGGAAACAAAAATGAAAAAAAAAATGGAGTCACCACCAATCCTTTTTTGGCTAGGTGTGATACGTTACCTATTAAAACAAATTCTTTTAATAAAATTTTAGGATTAATTAAAATTTATTAAAAAGATAATTTTAGGATTTGCGAAATAGTTTGGGTTTAGAAGTCAATTACACATGGAGAATGATTAGCACTCTTACAGTGCTCGTTTAAAATAGTACCAATTAAAGACACGTTATCCTTTGATTTTGACAAAAATTTTCTTAGTTTTGATGTTTGAATAATTCCCTTGACTTCTTTTGTTTATTGAAATTTTGATTTTTTTCTCTTTCATTATTATTATTATTATTGTTGTTCCATTTTATTCGAGAAAAATATATTAGAACATTTTTATTGAAACAATTCTTAAATATTCCAATACGTTGGTAACATTAGAATAATTCTTTCTCACCTAGATATTTCTTAAGCATCGCTTCTCAAAATACCTTAGAATCTTATCATTGAGGGTTCGTATTTACTTTCCGTATAAACAAACTTATGCATGCAATGCAAATGACAACATGTTGATGCACACATTTTATTTTGTAAAAAAAAATATTAGTTTTTATTTTTGTTGTTATTGTTTTAAAGAAAAGAAAAATTTTTATCGTATTAAAATTTTTTTATAAATATTTTAATACACTGATAGTATTTAAAAAAATTTTCTCACCTAGAGATTTCATAAACCATCACTATTCGAAATGCTTTAGAATCTCGACATCAGATAAAAAATTTTTTCCTCATTTTGTATCATTTTATTTTTTAACAAATTAGTTCATTTTTATTAACTATTTTATAGCAAAAAAAAAAGTAAAAAAATGTATTGTATTGAAAACTTTTTATAAATACTTTAATACATTGGTAGTATTTAAAAAAATCTTTTCACCTAGAGATTCCGTAAGTATCGCTACTTGGAATACCTTTGAATCCCATCATCGAATAAAAAAATTTTTTTCTTATATTTTTTCTAATTTTTTTATCATTTTTATTAATTTTGTTAATAATTTTTATTATTTATTATTTTTAATTTTAAAAATTTATCAAATGTTAGAAACTATTTTTTTATTATTGGTATCATAGTCATTAATTATTATTTTTTATCATTATTTTATAAGGCTTATTTCAAATTTTTACAAAATTATAAAAAATTTTAACTTATTTCAAATTTTAACAAAATTATCAAAAATTTTAACTATGGATTTCATTATTTATTTATTTTGTTTTCATTTTTACTAATTATTATTAGAAAAACAACAAAAATTTATTCTAGCAAAATTAAATATTTTAACATGCACAATATTAATGATAAAAATTCAAAATAACAAAAATAATATTAAAAAAATAAATCAAAAAATTCCAAAAAAATTTTTTTTACCTAAATCGAACCAGTCAACGATTCGATCAATGGTTCGATCAAAGGTTTGGTCAATGTCGATCTAGGCAAGCTAGTCAACAGTGGTTCAACTGAACCAACTAAGGGATGATCAGGGAAGTGGGTCGAGTGTAGGTCATTGCATGAATCTTCGGTCAGATCATGAGGCAACACACCAATCTTGTAAGGTCAAAACGACGTCATTTTGATCATTCTCCAAACTACATCGTTTTGGCTTTAGGCAATTTATATATAAACCCAATTTTTTTAGTTCATTTTAACCATTCTTTAAAAAACATTTTCTTCTTTTTTCTTTGAACTAGAAATCCCAAGGAAAAGCTAGCTGGTTATCATTGCCGTCGCACAGCCACTGTTGTCGGTCGCCATCGTCGATACTAAGAAACTTCAAAAACTCACCAAAATATCCTTCTGGCCTCCTAAGTCCTGATCTGATTTTTTTTTTTTGCGAGAAAATACCATGAATAGTCTAGATCGAGGTTGAAGTTTAGGTCAACTTTTTTTTATTTTTTTTGTTTTCATTTTTAGCACTATTAGTCCCCGTTACCAAGGGTCATGATTCATTTGTGTTTGGTGTTTGTGTGTTTGGCTTTTTAGGTTTTGAGATTTTTTTTTACAGAAAGTTTTTTTTTGTTCAATAGAGCCTTTTTTTTTATTTTGGTAAGGTTTCTTTTTTTTTTTTAAGGTTTTGCTTGGATAGATCCTGGGTTTTTTGTTTCTTTGGATTCCTCCTCCCTTGATCTGCAAGAAAAAAGCTCTATTTATAGAATTTTTTTTTATATTCAAATCTCTGATTTTTTAAAATTAAGATCTTAAAATTTCAAACTTATGGTGTTTTTTTCAAAACCATCGATGGATTTTTGGTGATCAAAATTTACGATGTCAAGTTAAACGAGAATGCTTTCAATGCATTTAATGTACCCATGGACTTTGGCAGAGAAAAAAGGAACAAAAAAAATGATAATAATAATAATTTAAGTTAATTGATAGTGATCAAAATGAGTATCTATGAATACAATAATAGAAAACTTGTCTTTTGTCTCTATCTCGCATTAATTTGTCAATCTTTTCAAGTATAAATACAAAACATATTTTGTCCGCCTCGACATCAAATTAATTACTTCTATTTACTAGATAAAAAACTTTATTGTCTTTTTTAATCACAATCAAATAATTCTAAGTGGGTATTTACCTCAATTTATAGAAGAATTTATTTATTGTAAAAGCAGAAGTTAAATTTTTTATTTTTAAAATTTTTAAAATTTTACTTTATGCAAAAAATAAATTTGAGTTTTTAGACGAACTATAAATTGAAGCTTTTTCAAAAAGTGTTAATGAAAATTTTTTATATTCTCACTTTATTCTTTAATAATTCATAAAATTATAAATAAGATTATATTATTTCATGTTATTTTTTGTTTTGTTTTTTTTTTTTGTCATTGAATTCATTTGCTTTTATTATAATTAACAAAATATCTCTTTATTTTATTTTTATTCCTAAAAGTTTGCATTTAATTTATTAATAAGGTTGATTATTTTATTTTTATTAAAAAAATACAAAAATATTATCAACTAGTTTTTCCAACATTCTACCGTAATTCTATATTAAATTCGCTAAACTCTATTTTAATTTTTCTTTACGGTACTTTTAAAACAACTCTACCTGAACAACACTTCTTACAGAAACTTTAGTATCTTCCATAGCACAGCTGAAACGATAAGGTTTTTTTTTTTAATATTTGTCGGGATCAAGTGACAGGAATTTTGAATTTTGTTTTTACACGATCCGATCAATTTGATCAGGCACCCGTCATTTATTTTCATTATTGAACTCTTTGACAGCATAAAAAATCAAGAGCAGTGCCCTCCCTTTATCTGTCCATATGATGGAAAGGCGAAGGCCTTTGGTGCCTCCTCCTGGCAAAATCTGGGGCCCCATAAGCATTACCTAACATGCATGTTTTTTTCTCTCCTCGCACAACTTCTCAAAGATCCTTAAAAAATTAATGTATTTTGTCAAGTGTCATATTATTATACATACAAAATCCAATATGAGATAACAATAGAAATGAATTGCATTTTTTGACATATCAAAAAGAAGAATCCAAATTCATTGAAAGTAAAGATTTAGTTATTTCTTGACTTTGTTGATTGCGTGAATCATTGATCAAAGAGCGGCAAAACAGATTGCACTCACGTTAGCTGCTGGATATACTGATAATGGGAAAACATGAATAAACATTGAAGGGACTGTGATCCCAAGTCTATGACAAAAGGCTATTATAGGCAAAATTTCACCGATATTTTTAGGTGGCATCTTTTACCAGAAACCATACCTAGAAAACCTACTGCCAAATGCCATGCGGTTGATAACTGAAGTTCATGTGTGAATCATATGATTCATGCACTGATGCACATGTCTTCATGGCTTCCTTTTCTGCTGTGTAGGTTTGGGTAGCTGAAAGCCATTAATTAGGCAGATATTTGAAGACAATTTCACAGCAGAATTCAAAGCATTGTTTCTATATTCAAACAAAACAATAAATCTTTAGTCTTTAGATAGAAATAGGAAATTTCATTTTTTATTTTTCAACATTAATAACTCTTCTGGTGTAGAGATTGTTTATGTTGACATATGTAATTTGATGTACAGGTCTACGATTTTGAACTGTCAGTTAAGGATCGCCAGTTATGAAGTCAAATCTTTGCTTGCACTCAACGGCTAAAAAGCTTAAGCAATTTCCAGGCTTTTCCCAATGACAACAACCTCGCAAATGGGTTAATTTAAACCTTATTATCCCAAAATCTTACAAAGAATCTTAAATTAAGTGTGAAATACATTTTTTTTTTTTTACATTTGTCAAATTTATATGATTTTATTAAAATTTTAAATTATTTTATTTTTATATGTTTTACATAATTTTTAAATTATATCATCATATCATATTTAAAATTATCATAACGTTAATATTATTTTTTATTTTTATTGTTAAAAAAATCATATGGCAAATATTAAAAGAATTGTATTAAAAGAGTCTTAAAATCTGAAATAATTTAAAAACCAAAAAAAAAATGGACAAAATAATGAAGCATGCATAAATAATAATATATTTTAAAGTAAGGATCCACTTCTATTAATATAAATTAGATATTTTTTATTTTGAATAAAATTAAATTCATAATTAATTTAAATCAAAATAATATTTTAATTTTAATTATTTTAATCCAAAAATAAAAGAAATATAAATCTTACACCGATTCAAATGAATGCCTGCTCTATATTTTATTTAGAAGGCTATATTTTGCCAACTCTTTCCCATTTTCCCGTTCTAAAATTGAAATATACCGCAGATAAACCAAGCTTGGAACCTCTTACTCTCAACGACTCAGTTTAGCCGAGTCCGCGCCACGTAAACATTTTAAACTTCCAACAGTCAAAGCACCGTCCACTAATAGGAAGACCCCCATTTTTTCAGACTCTTCCAGCTTCCTGGAACTCAATAAAAAAAACACTACTACTACCCAATCTTACCCTCTCTCTCTTTCATTCTCAGCTATCCTTGCATGTTCTAGCCATGGCTTCTCTGAAGACCCTTTCTTTTATTGCAATCTTTCTTATTCTGCATCTTAAGATTGCCAAAAGTGACATTTTATCTCCCATGTTTGGTTTGTAACTTTCCCTTCTCAGTTTTTTGTTTTTTTGTCTTTTTGTTTTGGCTCACAAACTAATTGTTTTGAGATCTTTGGGCTTTTTATTAACTTGGATGTTTCTTGATTATGATTTTTTTTAAGAGTTTTGAACATGTTTTTAATTGGCTTTGTTTCTTACGGCAGATGATGTGTGCAAAGAAGTGGAATGTGGAAGAGGAAAATGCAAGCCTTCTTTAAATGGCACTTTCCCTTATTATACGTGTGACTGTGATCTTGGTTGGAAACAAACTCGTGCAGACAATGACGATCATCTCAAGTTTCTCCCTTGCATTGTTCCCAACTGTAAGTAAGCTCTGCCTTTCTCTTGCTTTTAAGACACATGTTCATCTTTAAAAGTTACCTTTTTCAATTCTTACAAGTAACTTTGGTTAAGGTTTGTATATATAATCAAATCATGAATGTTTTATGAATTTAGCATTAACTTGTCTATGCTATGTAAGGGAATTTGATACTTAATTAGCTTTGGGAAATTAGAAAAGGTCTTGAGTCCAGAGTTAAGCTCGGTTGGTTCATGCAATCACCTTAAAGTTGGCATTCAGCAGGTCCAAATCCTAGCATTTGCAGCCACTTGTCCTATCTTCAGGCTGCGACCATTGAAAAAAATTAGAAGTGGTCTTGGGGTTGTTGTGGGGAATTCAATTAGAGTGGATGGAACCATTGATTACACTCAGCCACATCATGAAGGCGGTTTGGTTGTTGTTTTTTAACCCCCTTCTTTTTTGTTTTTCATCTTTTGTGGCTAAGAGTAGTGATAGCTTTAATTTTGGACTAAATTTCCTGTTAAGAAGGCAAAAGCTAGATTTGGATTTGATGATGAAAGAAAGCCAAAAAAATATTTTGTACACAATTAGAAGAAAGAAATATAGAAAAATAATAAGTTAATTCAAGTTGATGATGCATGCTATTCTACATAGAAAAATAATATGTTAATTCAAGTTGCTGATGCATACTAATCCTCTAAGGAATGTGTCATGGTGAGGACCTTTCTTCAACAAGGGATACCAAACACTTGTTAATATTTGATTTTAATATCTTAGCTATTCCAAGATTGTAAATTTTAATCATTCTTTAAAAAAGTTAAGATTGCCGATATGAAGATGTGTTTGATTAATTTACGATTAATGATGCCGATAGTTTGGTGCTTTTAGGTACACTAAACTCTGCTTGTGCAGCAGCTCCCTCCCCTGTGCAAGAGAAGGCATCCAAAGCAAATCAGTCAATCTTTGATGGTAAGCTCTGCACTCTTTACGCTTTCTATTTGGTCATTTGATATCTCTTTCTTAATGTTAATGCACTTTGTCATGGTTTTACAGTCTGTCATTGGACTAATTGTGGAGGCGGGTCGTGCAACAAGACATCACCAGTTACATATGACTGCAAATGTTCAGAGGGTTATTTTAATCTTCTTAATGTCTCTGCCTTCCCGTGCTACAGAGAATGTAAGAATACACTCCTATAAAAAGCTAAGAAAAATCTCGAAGTGGCCATAAAACATAGGATTTCTTGTTTTATATTGTTACTTACAGTTGTTGAGTAGTATGTTCCAATTGGTATTCCAAAAGAAAATTGCTAACTGAGTTTTAACTTGTGATTTTCAGGTGCAATTGGCCTGGATTGTACAAACCTTGGGATTTCAATATCCAATAAGTCTACTTCCACAACACCAACATTGTCTCAAAATGATGTGAATCAAGGTAAAACCAAGCACTATATATATCTCTCTTTTTTTCTGTTGCCAAAACAAAAACATGTAATAGTGCTCTTAAATATATTTAACTGTGTTTCCATTGTTTTCTTTTTTCAACCCTTTACTTCTCTCATTGGGAGATCTGAGAATCTTGTGACCATCTTGAAAAGTAGCATCATGTCTGAATTTTAAGAATATTTAATCATAATTTGACCTATAATACAGAGTTTTTGCCCATTATCTAGCAATGCTTTTCCATATTTAATTGAAATAAATTAATTCTCCATATAGTTTTGTACTTTTGGGATGCATATATTGCTGTATCAATCAATGAAAATAACAGCTTTCTGTTTTTCTCAGCTGGCTCCAAGCTTCTAGGAAATTGTCATTGGGTAATAATGTCGGTATTGTTGCTGGCTACGGTTGCTTGATTTGTATAGATGAAGCTGATGCTCAGAGTTTCGAGTTCCATGATCCGGATAGCACATATCAACTCTAGCATCAAGCAGGGACCTTTTCTGTTGTCCTATGGCTACTATAGTTGGATGATATGTTTCTGTAAATCTACCATCATACAGTTTAGGAGGAATCAGTTCTTGTAGCTAGTGCTTGCATATGCTATACGAGATTTTTTTTATGGAGTTCAGTTATGGTTGATAGTAGTTATTTACCGGTTGTATATAACACTATTGCCATGTATTATTTCTTGTTTTCTATTTATGAGATTCTGAGCTTGGTGTTTGTATGTGTAATTTATTCCTCACTTTGCCCCTTTTAACGGATACTCTTCCACTTTGAAAGTGGATACAAAGGAGCGTTCATCTGCAATTTTTTTATTACAATCGTGTACATTCAATCATATAAAAAAAATTTTTATATAATTCATTATTTATAAGTGTGGTTAATTTAAAGTTTGATTCAAATTATTTTTACAATCATTCATAAAAAAATAACATTTAATAAATTTAAATTTTCAATTTCAATATTTGTAATTTTTTTCTTTATCTCAAACTACAAATTTTTTTTATAATGAAGTTAACATGAGAAGTACTAAAACCATCTGATAAGCATCCCAGTCTGTCACTGATTTTAAATATGTTATTTAAATGCATCTTCTCATTCAACCAATCAATCTCTTATCATATCCCTATCGAAAAATTTGCCCCCATCTCATTGTCATATTTGTTAGCCTTATTATTTCTCATGAAACGATTTTTCATAATTCGTAAATTATTTAAATTTAATTTAAATAAAATTTAAATTTAAATAATTTGATTTATTAAATGAATAAAATTTAAATATTTAAATATTTTATTTAAATAATTTACGAGTATTATCAAATTTTTTTACTTTAATATATTTTATTATTTTAATTAAAAATTATTATTTTACTTATATATATCAATTGAGATTCAAATTTAAATATAAATAAATGAACTTAAAGTTAAGTTTAAGAATTAAATTTATTTTTTTATTCATTAAACGAACATAATCAATGAATTTAAATGGATTTATCTCAAATTTAAAATTTAAAATTTAATCAAATTTATCAAATTTTAAATAACAAATTTCGAATTGAATTAAGCTTTTCACTGGCTTCACTTAATTACATTTTTACCTACACCTCTTCCAACCCTATAATCCAATTACCCAAAATCTTTTTCTTTACTCTACGTGGCGTATAAAATCTTACTTTTTCTCTAACATCATTTTCGTATTCTAGTAATTCTAAAAATAGAAATGGATTGAATCGGAATAAATTTTTATTTATTTCGATTTTGATTTATTTTTTAATATTTATATTTAATTTTAATTTAATTTGATATTAAAATATTGTTTTTTATATATTCAATTTGATCGATTCATATATTTATAAATAAAAATTAATTCGATTTGATTTAAAATTAATTTAATAATTTTAATTTAATATAATATTTTTAAAATATTATTATGTAATATAAATTATATCTTAGTTATATATAAATATAAATTTTTATTAAGTTAATATTTTAAATTAAAATATTAAATAATATTTTTAATAATATTATACATATATAAATATAAAATTAAATAAATAATAAAAATATATTTATTATATATATCCAAGTTGAAACAGTATTACCTAAAACCTAACTTTGATCAGACCCTAATTTAAAAAACAAAAACCCAACTCGCTTTCAATTTAACCCCTAATTTTTACAACTGATTAAATCCTTAATAATGGATAATTTTAAGTGTACAATATTTAAGTATTTTTTTTGTTGAAAAAATGAAAAGAAATGAAAATGAAAATTTTGTTAATTTAATGATTTAGTTACAAAATAAAAAATTATAAATTTTAATTATTAAATTAACAAATTTTTCATTTTCATCTTTTTTCATCATTCTTACTAAATAAAACCTTATATTTTATAAATCGTTGCATTTCATCAATTAGGGGGAAACAAAAAAAAAAAAAAAAACGTTATCTGCCTCGCTTATGAAGCGGATTTGGCTTGTTTTCAAGCCTTAGTGAAGCCATGCCCTACCTCAGTTGATTAGATTCGATCGATGTTGGTTCGATTCAATACGAAAATGGAGAGAGAAGAAAAAAAAAAGAAAAAGAAAAAGAGAAGAAGAGAGAATAATATAAAAGATTATAAAAATGTTTTATTTTTTAAAATATAAATTTTCAATTTTTTAAAGTCTTTTAATTTTTTTAATTTATTTTATATTTTATATAATTAAAAAAAAGATCCCTTTGATTTTTCCAAATCCCATTTTTTAAAAATTTTTTTCATTTACTTGTTTGTTTTGTTTCACAAAATTATCTGCGTAGGAGAGGTGAATACCTGCCATCTCTATCATGGTCTTTGGAAATTGGAGCTACTGGGCACCATGTTTTCCCTTTCATTTATGTAATTAAATAGATATGCCCATTATTGTCATAGTGCTTTTCACGTAATTAGTGTCTAAATAATTTACATTGTTTTTAACCAAATTTATTTTAGTTTGAGCCAAAAATGAAAATAAAAATTTTTTTTTGTTTATAAAGGTTAAAAAAGAAAGCCACTTTTGGTATAGACAATAAGACCTGCAAGCCCTGAGACCTGAGACTGGATCTTACATTTATGGCTGTCTATTTCTTATGAGGGTTGTAAACCATTGAAGCAAATCCTTTGTTTCTTTATTCAAATGGAATAATTTTTTTATAAAATATATTTTAATTTGAAAATCACAAAAAATTCTATGCATCAAACCTGCTATCTTTTTTTTATCTCAAAATTACAATCTCTGTTGTAAAAATAAAAATTACGATTGTTTCCTTTTCAATCATTTGTTAAGGGGAATTATTGAGAAGACTTTGGTTGAAAATGAATGGTCGGTCCACCTTAAATGTATGTGTTAAAGATGGGCGTGAAATTAATACTGTTTTGTGCAAATGAGGTTGTGTTTGACAAAGGAAAATAAATGATCAGATGGGATATGTGAGAATGTGATCTTTCCTCTCAACTCCCCAGCATCCATATCAGATATCCTTGATTTTGTTATGGGCCTGAATTAAGAATTGGACCACCCTTTGTGGGCTCAACACTTGGTTTTTAGACAACTTGGACAATTGATACAAATTGTCTTTTTTTTTTTTTTACTTAAAAAAAAGAAAAATACGAATATGACTCTTTAAATAATATATGTACTTACCACTCATGATTTTTTATAATGCAAATTGAGCATGATTGTTGAATTCGTGATTTAATTCAATTTGTTCGTAATTATTTTTAAAAATTAATATAAATAAATTTATTTTTTGTTTTTATATTTCATTTATTTATAAAAAAAATAACATAGTTGCTATCCAAAAATGAAAAGATATATTGGTGCCTTTAATCAAAGATTCCATTGATATTGAAATTGAAATTAAGGGTATTTCCACAAGTGGGATCTTACAATCTTAGAGCAAGATACTGGTTTCAGCAGTACCCAAAAAGAAAGAGTAGGGTCTCCTTGTCATCCACTAAGAAAATTTTACACAACATGGAATTCTGTGAAGCAATATCAGTGGCTCACATCAACTTCCTTGACTTTGGAAGTTGGTGGTGGAATTTAATCTCCCCTTGGATCCACCCCTCCACTCCTTAATTTGCTTGTCATCCACAAAAAAAAGTTATGCACTACATGACATGAATAACATTTTTAGGAGTCTCTAAAAAGAAGCTTTTCCCTACTTTTAATATTGTGTTGTTATGTATTAAATAAACTACCTATAACCTACTACCATTTATACCCTTTTATAATTATAATACTTATAAACTTAACAAATCAAAATGGATTTTTTTGAAAATTTTGAAATAATTCAAAGATTTATTTAATATTATTGCCCTATTTAAATTAATTAGCGATATCAATAATTCAAATTGAGGCTTTGAATTTAAATTTTAGATGAACCAAATGAATTAAGAATCGAATAAAGTTATGTCATTATACAAAGAAAATTAAGTAAAAGCAAAAATTAAATTAATAAAATGTTTAGTATACAAATATCTCATATTTCACTCATTAACTCTTATAATTGATGTGGTGTTAACAATTATCGATATTAAAATTATTATACGACTTTGGTATGATAATTCCGTAATGCTAATCAGCATGGGACGGGTTTTACAGTATTACCTAAAGGTGGGTGGAGAAACATATAAATATTATATATATGGATAAATTGTGGACTTGACCATGAATTAAGCTATTTTAATTAACAAAATTTTTTATTTAAATTTAATTTTAAAAATATATTTAAATATTGAATTATTAATATAATTAACATTTTTAATAATGATTTTTATTCGAACCTTCACAAACAAGCCGGACCTTGGATTAAAGTTTAAAATAACAAAGCCGTGCTGAGCTCCATCTACAAACACCTTTTATCATTGGATGGTCGAACCCTAAACCCTCCAGGTTCAGGGTCAGGGGTTAAGAGTCTGAGCCATGGTCAACTGATGTTTGGAGCCATATGGTACTAAACCATGCTTATCTCCATCTACATACACCTCATTACATGGTCGAACCCTAAACCCTCCAGGTTCAGGGTCAGGGGTTAGGTGTCTGAGTCATGGTCAACAGACATTTGGAGCCATATAGGGGTTTGTAGGTCTCCAAAGGAACACGTAGAATCGAGACTTAATGATGACAATGAGATCCCTCTGCCCTACCAACTCACTCACTCCGCACTTTAATCTGTTTCCTATCACCCTATCTGTTCCTGTCTCTTGATATTTAATGAGAGCAACAATTTTTTAAAAAAAAAAAAGTGTTTTCCTGCAGATTTTCAGGTAGTTTAATTTTCAGATATGCTACATAAATATAACCCACGGCTCCAATCATAAAAACTATCATGTTTGATGAAGGTTTAGAAAAAGGATGAAGACAGAAGAAGCAAAAACAATCTTTTTTGTGCCTTGCTAATGTGAATAGTGCCATTTTTTTTCCTTTTGTTTTTCTGTCGGGGACCAAGGTGAATGATGAAGAAATTGCTGCACTTGGCTTTGGTCTATCTCACCATTCTCATCATCATAGTTCCTAAATTCGATGATGATGATTTTCTTTTCTTTTCTTTTCTTTTTTTTTTTGCTTAATGAAGAATATGGTAAAAATGGGCTATGGTAATCTGTTTTGAATCTGCCATTAAACTTTTTGCTACAATTTGGAAATATAAAATAGAGAATTTTCTTCTTTTTTTTTCAAAAGGTTAGAGTCTATAGTATGAATCATATATTAGTCATTGAATTAAAATTTTGATGTGATATAAATTATAGAGTTGAGTGATTATATAACTTGTAAAATTGGGATTAAAATAATAATAATAA